CTAGGAGATCTGAGGGGCATCAGTGCATTGGCGTTTCACCGACACTGTCGACCCGAGCGGGAAGAATGTACCTGACCCTGAAGTGCGGCGTTCCAGAGCGGCTACCCGCGGCAGCAGACTAAATTCAATCTTTTTTTAACAGTTGTAATATTCGAGGCAATAAACATATAATTATAGTTACGGCATATTCCTCGGCGTTCTACTCTGGGACCGGGTCGGCATCTCTTTCAGCAACCACCTCAGACAACAAATAAATTTCTGAGACGAACCCTGGCCATCCTTGAGCCACCGGAATGTCCAACCGTCACACGTGTTTAAACGTGTACGATGACGAAAATTCATATAATTTTTCTTTAACGCACAATGAATAATGGCGTGTTTGAACGATCTAATACAGAATAATATAAAAAGCGCTTCGAAGGCAGCTATTTGTGCATTGCATAAGTTTATATTTGAAGAAGATGGAGACAAAAATAATCGCAAACGTCTGCGCGAGTTTACTGGTTTCCAATATGACGAAAATGCCGCAGAATACAAACGCAAATGCACATACATACGTGAACATTTAAACGATCGAGACCTTATATCTATAATTGTAGCTTTGGGCATAAACCACGACGTGGAGAACACACCAGTGCAAATCTTTCGCAATTTGCTGTATGGCAACCTTCTTGCCGGCGACGAAGTTGGTGATATAGGGAGCGACGAGTCAGATGAGGAGGACGAAGATAACGACGAGAGTGAAGCAGACGTTGGAAGCCGAAACGCCGAAGTTCCTCATGGAAGACAAAGAATGAGTGCACACGTTTTGCACTCAGTTTTCGGGACATAGAGGACAACAGTTCGATGGCTGTGACGAAACTCCAGTTGAGGTGTGGATAAGCCATTTTGAAGATCAAGAATTTCTCATGGGATAGAAAGAAATCCAAAAACTAATTTTTGCAAAAAAAAATCTCTAAAGGGTGTTGCGAAACTTTTTGTGTTGAGTGAGAAGCAGTTGAACTCGTGGAGTGCATTGAAGAAATCTCTCTTGAGTGAGTTCAAATCAACGGTGAGCAGCAAGCAGATACATAAATAACTCGAAGAGAGCAAACGACGCGCGAACGAGAACGCGCAAGAATATTTGTACAGGATGAAAGATATTGCATCACGCTGAAAGGTTGAAGAAGATGCACTTATTCAATATGTGATCGACAGTATTGACAAACTTTCTATAAATAAATCTGTATTGTATATTAAGCGCAAACTAAAAGATTACCAAATCATAAATGTCAAATCAAAAATTTCTGAGGGAAAGAAAAGAAATCACAGCCAGCGCACAGTGGTTTCAAGAGTGCCAAAAAAGAGATTGTTTGCTACAACTGCGGTGGAAAGGGACATCTTTCTAGTGGCTGCAACAACAGAAAGTGCTTCAAGTGCAACAAATTTGGACATATTTAAAATAATTGTCCACAAAGTGAGAAAACAGTCGATTAAAATCAGCCAAACACACGAGTTTTTAAAGAAAACACTGAATTAACGAGCAAGATCGTGTCGATTCAAAATCAAAATTGCATTGCGTTGTTTGATACAGGCAGTAAGTTAAATATTCTGCGTGAAGACTGATTGGATTTGTACAGAAAAATGGGTTTACCTAAGTTGAAGGAATGCAGTGTTTATCTGATTGGATTTGGAAAAGATCGAAATGCAAATAAAAAAAAACCGATTGGACTGTGTTACCAAAAAGTGTGGATTTATGACAATGGCTACGACTTAAAGTTTTTTCATAGTTCCTTTCGAGTGTATGGACACTCAAATTATCATCGGTGAACAACATCGGTGAAGAGCAACCGGAAGCAAACTTGATGAAAATTGACGCAGTGGTTAACAACGTTGAACTTGACATAATCGAATTAGCCAGTGAAGATGCAAAAAACGAAGTGGGCGAATTTTTAATAAACTATAACCCAGTCAACCAACATTGAAATCAAGATTATTTTAAAAGACGAATCTCCAATCTTTTCACGTCCGCGGAGATTCGCTTTTGCTGAAACGCGGGTAATTAAAGAACAAGTTGAACAGTGGCTAGCGAGTGGTATAATTGAGGAGTCAGACTCTGAATTTACCAGCCCTGTTGTGCTCGCTAAGAAAAATGATGGCTCACAACGACTCTGCGTAGATTTCAGACAAGGTAATCATAAAAAACCATGCTTCACTGCCGCTAATAGATGACCAGCTCGATTGCCTTCAATAAGCTACGGTGTTTAGCACAATTGACCTGAAGAACGGCTTTTTCCATGTGCCTGTAGCCAAAGCCAGCAAGAAGTATACTTCCTTTGTCACGCAGAGTGACCAGTACCAATTTTGTAGAGTTCCTTTTGGTCTGTCAAACTCGCCAGGAGTTTTTCAGAGGCACATAAATGCTATTTTTCGAACTCTGACCCGAAGAGGAATCGCTCTGCCATATGTAGACGACATCATTATACCGGCCAAAGACGAACACGAAGCGGTATCAAATCTTAAAGAAGTAATAGCAACTTGCAGCGAATTTGGACTTGAGCTTAACATAATAAAGTGCCATTTCCTACAGACCCGTATTCAATTTTTAGGGCATATCATCGAAAATAAAACGATTTCGCCGACGCCTCAGAAGATTGATGCTGTATCCAAATTTAAGATTCCCAATAACTTGAAGCAGCTTGAAAGTTTTCTCGGTCTGACAGGACACTTTAGAAAATTCATAAATAACTATGCACTTATTTCAAAACCCTTGACTGATCTTACAAAAAATGACGCGAAATTCATAATTGGTCCCAAAGAAGAGAACGCAATTGAAATTTTAAAAAAGTACTTGACATCAACCCCAGTATTGGCTATATATAATCCGAAGTATGAAACGGAGGTACATACTGACGCATCCATAGACGGGTTTGGAGCCGTGCTCCTACAAAAATCAGCAGATGACGGCCATTTCCACCCTGTTTACTATATGAGCAGGAAAACAACAGATGCGCAGCGCAAGTATTCAAGCTACGAGTTAGAGGTGCTTGCCATTATCGAAGCCATTACTAAGTTTTGAGTTTATCTGCTTGGAATTCAATTTAAAATCTGTGACGAGTAACGCACAAATAAATAAATACATATTAAGACATAGGTATAAGAGACAAAACCTGAAGACACAGAATATACATAGTAAATAAGAGACAACACCTGAAGTCAATAAAAACAAAGAACAAACACACCAAAATAAAATCAAACGAGCGCCAGTTTAATTTAAATGCGCGCGCGCGCCATGAGCAGAGACAAAGGGTCACACTGGCCCGCTAAGGGTCTGGCCACACTATTATGGCAAATTTATTCGGGTGCGACAGCCACACTCGATCGCTCCAGAGCCCTATATAAGGCGAGCTCCAGCCCTTGGAAGGCATTCAGTTTTCGGCCAGCGATCGGCCAAGTCCTCTACAGGAGCAAGGATAAGCCAACAGGAAGGAGCCGCCTAAGGAGCAAGGACGAGTAAGGTATATTGGTAAAGTGGTAACTAATTGTCGGACCCCGACCATACCTTACGTATATAACTTGTGGAAGACCTTAGGGCCTCTCTGTACGTCTCGATATTGGAAGACCTAAGGGCCTCCCTATAAGTCTCTATATATATATCTCGGTAGACCTTAGGGCCTCCGTATACGTCTCAATCTTAGATGACCTAAGGGCCTCTAACAACTTCACAATCTTAGAAGACCTGAGGGCCTCTACAAACTTCTCATCTTAGAAGACCTTAGGGCCTCTACAAACTTCTCATCTTAGAAGACCTTAGGGCCTCTACAAACTTCTCATCTTAGAAAACCTTAGGGCCTCTACAAACTTCTCATCTTAGAAGACCTTAGGGCCTCTACAAACTTCTCATCCTAGAAGACTTTAGGGCCTCTACAAACTTCTCATCCTAGAAGACCTTAGGGCCTACAAACTTCTCATCCTAGAAGACCTTAGGGCCTCTACAAACTTCTCATCTTAGAAGACCTTAGGGCCTCTACAAACTTCTCATCTTAGGAGACCTTAGGGCCTCTACCCACTGATCTCTTGGTGGAAGACCTCAGGGCCTCCGCATATTGCACTAACCTGAAAGACCTTAGGGCCTTCGCCGACTACTCCCGCTCATCTAGGAAGCTCGACCTATCGACGCCCAGCACGGGAACGGGCCACGGACCCCAGGGCGACGGAACGCATCTCGCAAAGGACAAGCGGACGGCGGACCACCGGACGACGAAACACCTCCGAAGAAGGTAGACCCGAGCCGGCGTACGGAGAACTGGAGCAGATATTCTCAATTGCCACCACCAAAACCCCGTTTTACCTATTTGTATCCTCATCTACAATAAATTGTTTTGTCCAAGTATAACCTAACTACGGCCATCTCCTCTGGAACCCGGATCGAGAACTTCCTTGCAGCGACCACCTCAGACAACAAATAAATATTTGAGACGAACCCTGGCCATCCTTGAGCCCGAGGAATGACCTAACCGTCACAGTGGCGCCCGAGCAGATTGAAGTGGTTGCAAGGAACAGACCGACACCGGCAGAGTTATGTCAAGCTGGGTATACCTACCGTCGAAAAACGAACTTACGGAATACGCAGAAGAGTTCGGTTTAGACACGTCAGGGAAAAGCGAAGAGCTAAGACGGCTACTGGCAGCGTTTGCCAAGAGGACGGATCATAACGAAGAGGTCAGACAACGGCTCGCCGATCTAACGATAAGGTACAAAAGAGACAAGAGTCCGGCAAAAGATATCATACCGGAAATCGTAATATTCGAGGAAGAGGAGCAAGGACAGCAAATCGCCGGACCAGCGGTGAGATACAGAAGGGACAAAAACCCGGCAGAGATAAGACAGAAAGCAGAGAAGAGGATCAGGGCAGCGAGGAAGAGGCAACAACAAGCGCAAAAGCTCGAATCAGAGCAGCGAAGAAGGAGAAGCTGAACGGAACGATGGAAGGGGAAAAAGAGAGGAAAATAGAGTGGAGGATGGAAACAGAGGTGGTGGATCGAGTGCGGAGCTGGGGGATCCGGTACCAAGGGACAACGAACCCACTGGAATTCTTGGACAAAATAGAGCAGTGGGCGTCCGGGTACGGTATCCAGGAGAACCAACTCGTGCAGACCATGCCGTACATATTGGAAGGAGCCGCCATAGACTGGTGGAACACCACTCCAACCAAGATAAACACATGGAGGCAACTAACAACAGAACTACTAGAGTACTTCCTGCCTCCAAGGTACGAGGAACAGCTAAGAACGCAGATCGCACAGCTTAAACAGCGGGATTCGGAACCGGTGAGGGAATACGCTATGGGATTAAGGAAGCTGATGCGATTCACGAAACTGTCAGAAGAGGAGAAGCTCGACCGCATATTTAACAACTGTAGGAGCAAGATCAAGCTCTACACGCGGAGAGCAGGGTTTAGGTCGCTGACGGAGTTCCTCAAACTAGCAGAGGAAGTAGAAGAGATCGAGGCAGCGGACCAGCCGCGACACAACCAACCAGCACAGCAGCAAATACGGCCGGAAATTTGTATGCGATGCGGCGGGACAGGCCATGCGGCGCGCACATGCGGCAACCCACAACGGTTATTCTGCTGGGTCTGTGGACGAAAAGACATCAGAACGACGGAGTGCTGCAGAACGGGACCGGGAAACGCAGGAGGCCTGAGCAGATAAAGCTGGCAGCTCAGGCGAAAAAACTAGAGCCAGCACCAGGAAAACAGCTGAGTTGCGACGGATACCAAATAACCGCACGCATCAGGATCGGAAGCAGAACGGCGAAGGGAGTAATAGATACCGGAGCGTCCCGAAGCGCGTTAAGTATGGATAGGTACCAAGACCTCAGAAAACAGGGCAGGTGGAGCCCGGGCCGAAATCGTGATGGCTAACGGATCAAACCAGAGAACAGTAGGAATGTTCACGGCGGACATCCAATTCGCGGGGAAGGCATTTAGCCTGACATTCCTGATTCTGAAACAGGTCGCAGGCGGAATCTTGTTAGGAATGGATTTTCTAGCCGGGGCGCACAGCCTACTACGATGCGGGAATCTGGAACTGGAGATAACAGCCGTAGAGGACAAGGGGAGTGAGGCGAGCCCGACAGCCGACAAGGAGATGCCAGAACCATCGGACGCGGAAGTGCAAGCATTCCTGGAAAGTCAAAGGGGAAATGCAGCGGCTCCAGGAAAGTATGAGAAGGTTTCGGCAGCGCCACGCGAGCCTTGCAGCAGCGACCAGGACGGCAGTAACGATCGAGGCAACAGCAATGGCAGGAGGCACTCGGAAGAGGACGGCCCCAGCAAAGATGGGTACGACGGCATCAGCGAGGGAGGAGTCAACGATCCCGGCAGGAAGGAAGCGTATCGCACACAGACCGCATACAACCGAAGAGGTACTGCAGCAGGTGCCAGGGAACGTAGGCGAAACGGCAGCACCATCATCACGCCGCCAGGCGCCGATGCGAGTAACGCAACCATCGTGCGCAGTCTCCAACGCTCACGAACGTTCGCCATCGCGGGGCAATCACCCGAGCCAACCGAGGGCGCCGGCCAGCCAGCAGCCGCGATCACCATTACGCAGCAGCCGTCAACAGCAAGAACAGCAAGCAAGGATGCCGGTACGCCAGCTGTCGCCACCACAGGGCAGCCACCCAAGCCGCCCGACAACGCCGACCAGCCAACGGTCAACTCCTCGCAGCAGCCGCCAACCGCGCCCAACAGTCCGGAAGCAGTACGGCCGACAGCAGGCGTGGATCACGCATGACGGAGCGACAACCTGGCGCGTCGTGATGACGAGGACCAATAAGGTAACGCTGGTGGAACACAGCGCCAACAAAAGGAGGGGGGAGTGTGACGAGTAACGCACAAATAAATAAATACATATTAAGACATAGGTATAAGAGACAAAACCTGAAGACACAATAAATACATATTAAGACATAGGTATAAGAGACAAAACCTGAAGACACAGAATATACATAGTAAATAAGAGACAACACCTGAAGTCAATAAAAACAAAGAACAAACACACCAAAATAAAATCAAACGAGCGCCAGTTTAATTTAAACGCGCGCGCGCGCCATGAGCAGAGACAAAGGGTCACACTGGCCCGCTAAGGGTCTGGCCACACTATTATGGCAAATTTATTCGGGTGCGACAGCCACACTCGATCGCTCCAGAGCCCCATATAAGGCGAGCTCCAGCCCTTGGAAGGCATTCAGTTTTCGGCCAGCGATCGGCCAAGTCCTCTACAGGAGCAAGGATAAGCCAACAGGAAGGAGCCGCCTAAGGAGCAAGGACGAGTAAGGTATATTGGTAAAGTGGTAACTAATAGTCGGACCCCGACCATACCTTACGTATATAACTTGTGGAAGACCTTAGGGCCTCTCTGTACGTCTCGATATTGGAAGACCTAAGGGCCTCCCTATAAGTCTCTATATATATATCTCGGTAGACCTTAGGGCCTCCGTATACGTCTCAATCTTAGAAGACCTAAGGGCCTCTAACAACTTCTCAATCTTAGAAGACCTGAGGGCCTCTACAAACTTCTCAATCTTAGAAGACCTAAGGGCCTCTAACAACTTCTCAATCTTAGAAGACCTAAGGGCCTCTACAAACTTCTCAATCTTAGAAGACCTAAGGGCCTCTACAAACTTCTCATCTCAGAAGACCTTAGGGCCTTTACAAACTTCTCATCTTAGAAGACCTTAGGGCCTCTACAAACTTCTCATCCTAGAAGACCTTAGGGCCTCTACAAACTTCTCATCCTAGAAGACCTTAGGGCCTACAAACTTCTCATCTTAGGAGACCTTAGGGCCTCTACCCACTGATCTCTTGGTGGAAGACCTCAGGGCCTCCGCATATTGCACTAACCTGAAAGACCTTAGGGCCTTCATCAGGGCTCATCTAGGAAGCTCGACCTATCGACGCCCAGCACGGGAACGGGCCACGGACCCCAGGGCGACGGAACGCATCTCGCAAAGGACAAGCGGACGGCGGACCACCGGACGACGAAACACCTCCGAAGAAGGACGACCCGAGCCGGCGTACGGAGAACTGGAGCAGATATTCTCAATTGCCACCACCAAAACCCCGTTTTACCTATTTGTATCCTCATCTACAATAAATTGTTTTGTCCAAGTATAACCTAACTATGGCCTTCTCCTCTGGAACCCGGATCGAGAACTTCCTTGCAGCGACCACCTCAGACAACAAATAAATATCTGAGACGAACCCTGGCCATCCTTGAGCCCGAGGAATGACCTAACCGTCACAAATCGTTACGGATTGCGATGCGTTCACTAAAACTTTAGACAAACAAAACCTGTGCACTAGCACGGTGGGTACTCTTGCTGCAGGAATATGATTACCGAGTAGAACATCGATCAGGCACACGCATGAAGCACGTAGATGCTTTGTCCAGATACCCACCCAATCATGACTATCGTAGATGACTCAATTGCTGTAAGTTTTCTACAAGCACAATCCAAAGACGAACATTTAAAGACGATCTGCAAAATCATTGAGGACTCTAACGCTGCCTACCAGGACTATTTTTTGAAAGCTGGTGTCCTTTACAAATTAGTCAAAGACTTAGAGTTAATTGTCGTTCCCAGAGACATGCAGAGACAGATCATTAGTAGAGCCCACGACAGAGGACATTTTGCTGTTAGGAAAACAAAAGACTTGATTAGCAAGGTATACTTCATAGATAATCTCGACGAAAAAATTCAGAAGTATATCGACTGTTGCATTCCGTGCATTTTAAGCAACCGCAAACAAGGCAAACAAGAGGGTTTACTACATCCATTGCAAAAAGAAGATTTTCCATTACATACTTACCACATTGACTTTCTAGGACCTTTAGACTCGACAAGCAAAAATTATAAACACGTCCTTGCCGTGGTAGACGCATTCACGAAGTTCTGTTGGCTATACACTAGAAAGTCAACGACTGCCAATGAAGTCATAACCAAATTACGAGGACAAAGTAACATTTTTGGCAACCCAGCCTGCATCATATTCGACAGAGGTTCAGCTTTTACCTCTCAAGATTTTTTGCAATATTGCGAAGAAGAAAACATAAAAGTTGTAAAATCGACGACAGGCTTACCACATGTAAATGGACAAGTTGAAAGAGTCAACGCAATTATTATACCTGTACTTTCCAAGCTGAGTGTAGATGATCCAACAAAATGGTACCTACACGTTGATCGAGTTCAGCAAGCTATCAACTCGACTTTCTCCAGAGGCATAAATACAACACCTTTTGAACTTCTTATCGGTACCAAAATGAGAAGCCGAGATGACCATCAACTCCATGACTTAATCAACAAAGAATCGATAGGTCTGTTTCCGGACACACGCAACGATCTTCGTATTAAAGCTAAAACACAGATTTTAAAACTTCAAGAAGAAAACAAAATAGACGTATAATTTGCGACGAAAACCTGCAAGAAACTACAGCGTCGGCGATCTGATAGCCATAAAACGTACACAGTTTGGCAGCGGCTTCAAATTGAAACCAAAATATTTGGGTCCGTATGAAATCGTCAAAGTCAAACAACAACGAATACGATGTCCAAAAAGTCGGGAATTCAGACGGCCCGAAAAACTCATCAACTTGTGCTGAATATCTTAAACCGTGGCCCATCCACGATGCAAACGACGAAGAAGACGACGAAACATTCGAGGCGAATTATGGAAAACATTGCCGCACACTACGCACACCACGCATATACACAGACAAACAAAATCATTCCAATTGTTTGTATATTCCACATTGCCCTCCACGCACTATCCGCCACGCATCAATTATAGAATTTTGTTCTTATGAATCCAGCTATGTATCTTCTGACTTTAAAATGCCTATTCCATTTATTTAACAAACATTATATCTTAGCAATAAACAATTAACAATAAAAAAGGGTGCTTTGTTGTCGTGCGGTACCGGCGCTAAGCATTGCTTCCCGCGAGGTACAGGCCACCTACTCCGCACGCATCCTACTCTCCGTCTCCAGGGTCCTCAGCGTTTTCATGACGCTTGCCACGAACATGGCTGTCGCGTCCCGGGCCTCCTGACTGGCCAGCATGGTGTAAATCAGGTTGTCTGCTGAGATGGCCGTAGCTATGGCCTCCTCCGCTCGTGATGGAAACGATGGCAATCGCCCGCATTCTGGACAGTGATCCTCGGTGTCGTGCCTGAATCGCTTGAGATAGCTTCTGAAGCATCCGTGCCCGCTGAGCGCCTGCGTCAGGTAGAAGACCACTTCTCCGTGCTTCCCGCTTGTGATATCTGAAATCAGGCGGTGAGTCCAGCGGCCTTTGATGGATCTGTCCCACCTGTCTTGCCACCTGGCCACGCTTCTGCGCCTGGCACTGCTTCTGGCCTCGCGCCTCGCCGTTGGATTTTCCGGGTCGCATTGGAGGCGGTTCACTGGTTCACCTGCCGCGCAATGACCAGGGCCGCTTCGTCGGAGACCGTCCGAAAGGCGCACGCTACTCTCAAGGCGCACAAGCGGTAGGTTCCTTTCGCGCCCCTCACGTAGCTTTTGACTTTCGCGGTCTCCGCTCAGACTGGGGCTGCATATAGGAGTTGCGAAATTACGACACTCGTGAGGAACTTCGTCTTGCACTGCTTAGGGCCTCTGGTATTTAACATTATTCTAGAGAGAGATC